CTTGAAGGTGGACATAATGCTACAAGTAAAAATTTTACACCTGACTTCATGTGATGGATCAGTCAAAATGCAAGCACACTAAAAATGCTGCATAAAATTACCTTCTGGCTATGTATATAGGTTATATGAGACACAGATACATTTTATCTTTAGATTTGGGACCTGTCCTCAATATGAATCATTAATTTATATGCAGATATTCCAAAATCTGGAAAAAACCCTAAAATCTAAAACACTTCCATTCTCAAGCATTTTACATAGGGAATATTTGACCTGTATTGGGAAGTAATGGTAGGCAGCTCATCAGGATTCTTTGATCCACAGGGATCTGGAAGATGGCCAGTGTATCATAGTGCTCTAAGTGAGGAGAAAGGTGGATAAACAACTAGGGCATGCGTGATATATAGAATAAATTTTTTAAGTTTTTTATTTCAATGTAATACAAGTAGATATTAATAAAGGAATTTTTTTTTTGATACTGGAGATCTTACTTGGAACCTTGTGCTTGTGAGGCAGTTGCCAGAACCACTGAGCTAAATCCCCAGCCCCAGAAGGAAATATTTTTAAAAACACTTCTTACTTCTATGAAAAAAATAAAGCAAAATTTCACAACAAATTATAGAATAACATTAGTTAATATTCTGTTCATAAAGTTTTTAAAATTCAAGAGCAGAAATCAGCTGTCACCGTAGAAAAATCACAGTTCTAGCCAGGTGTGGTATCACACCCCTGTAATCCCAGCACTATGCGGGGGGGATCGTGAGAAAGGAGAATCACAAGTTGGAGCAAAGCCTAGGCAACTTAAAAACTTAGCAAGAACCTGTCTCAAAATAAAATTGAATTTAAAAATAAACAAAGGACTGGGGACGTAGCTCAATGTGAAAGACCTATGTTCAATCCCTACAACACACACACAAAATCAGATTTCCTGCTAAGTTCCTAGATGTCTGTTCATAGGTGCAGAGTTCACTAAAAATGAAGCCAGAATCCCTTAGGAACAACCTCATAGACAGATGATAGACAGATAAAAATATGGTGACTTTGAAAATTTTAGTATAGTAAAAGACACATTGCCATTAATCCCCATCACAATACTTCTCCTCACTTCAAACACTTATCCTAGTGTTCTTGCCAGTTTCTGAAGCAGCTCCTGGAGTCCTTTTTTGTTAAATGTCTTTACAAGGTGTGATTAAAACAAATACATGGTGAATGCCGCTGACAGTGCTGTCCAGTGGAAATGCAGGCTCATAAAAATAATACAGTGTATACTTATCTACCTTATTCGTGAGATCTAGCACTATTCCACTTTTGGCTCCTCCTCAAAGTCAAAATGACAATGAAAAGTAAATATTTTGAATTGATTCAGGACACAGAGGCAGTCACAACAGCACAACTAAAGACACAAACAAAGGACTTCTAGTATTTCTTTGTGAAGTGACAAGGATGATAGGATAATTGTGTTTGAAGCAAGAGGGAGTATTTTGAGAAAGAGAAATGGAATGTGTCTTTCATTATAATAAACTTTCTAAAATTTTTTAACATTCACCATATTTTTTAAAAAATTTATATATTAATTGGTACATTTT